CCTTCTCCAAAAGGAACCCCCCGTTTTTTTTGTTATTGTTGATGACATGTTGCTATTCGTTTTTGCATTTGTTTGCTTGGACAGCATAGGCCATGCTCGTCTTCCCCCGTCCACCACCGCCTCATCCGAACCCACAATACATTTTGCCAATTGACTCGCTTCTCCCGGCTGAAAACAAAACGGAAAAGCGGACGACGAGCAAGGAAAGCGGACTTGTTTCTCCGTTATTGATGTACACATGCAATTGGGTATGCAAGCATCGCATCGAGCCGAGGGCTGACGTTGTGGATATAGCGGGATAGCATTGTCATCTTCCCGTCAATGCCTCATCCTGCTGCTCCACGCCGTTGGCTGTGTACGTCCCGCGTGGCTTGCGAGCATAATCACTGCTGCTATCTTTGGGAACACCAAAGCCGAGAGGCATAGCAAAGCTATTGACGGATCTCAGGTGCCTAACAGCTGGTAGGTACCAGTTGCGCCAGGCTAATCCCTTGATGCTTTCATGAGCCAAACCGTTAGCCACGCAGAGCGCCACCGTCGTCGTCCTCCTCCGCCTCTCTCGGCCATCGTCCTCGTAACCGTCGACCTTACGGCTGCCGCTCGAGCCTAGCCACATATCCACACGTCTCGAGCGTGGGCTAGATCCGAGTCCGTTTGGCTAAAAGATCCGGCCTAATGTGGCGCTTGTTTCTCGTTGGGGGCGGACGACATCATTAGGTGCCCATCCCAATTGGAAATGTTGCCTCTCTCTCGGCATCGGATTCTTCGACGGTTCCTGCACGGTTTTCTCTGCTTTGGAACATACGTACACTTCAGCTGCGTTTAGCGTGGCCGTCCAGCGTTTTGCCCTGCAGGGTGCTCACAGTGCTAGTGCTTGATGGCCACGGTCAAATCATCGCCGTGAGAAAAGACCAGTGGCTGAGAAAGACAGAGGAGGTGGCACAGATTCAGCACAGCAGACAGCAGGCTACCTCGGAATTCCTGATCTTTCCCAAGATGGGATCATGATCCCCGGTATCCCCAGTCTCAGACATGCAGGCTTGCCAGAGGGGCAGGTAGGGAGAGCTTTCCGCTTTGCCAATGCCGACCATCCAGCCTGTCACGCCTGTCCGTATGCCCACCGGCCAGCCGTGCCAACTCAGTCAGCTCAACCATAGCCTGCCCTCTTTCTCATAACTGCTCCAGCTGGCCACCATCGATTGGGCCTAGTTGCTAGAGTCTACTGCGTAGAGTGAGAAAGAGTACCGAGAAGGCAGTTGGGAAACTGCATTGTTACCGCGGGGATGACGTGAGGAAGTGGGTCTTTGTCGTTCGCCCTTTGGTCCTACGGAGCCACAACCCACAGAGACAGACATAAACCACGAATAGAGCACACCTCCTTCACGACTGGGAGTCTGGCACTCGCGCATTCTGGGATGTCTGGGATATCCGAGCATGGGTCTCCCCTCCCCAGCTTCGACCTTGGCCGGGGTACGTAGCATCAAGTCTCGGAGTGCCACCCGTGGTCCGCTAGACTAGCAACAGCTTAACCAAGTATTCCCCTAGCCTCCTTGGACTAACCTCCACCCCCTGGTTCCGCCTCTTAGCCCTCTCGCCCAAACGAAAGGAGGCGAAAACGGGGAAAGGAATCCCATCATCGCACCGCCCACGCTGCGAGTACGGTGTACGGAGTACCTCCCCTTGCCTACCACAACACACCAACGCGCCAAGTATTCTTGGTGCTAGGCTTGCGTGCCCGGCGTTTGGTGGAGGATTCTTGTGGTGGTGCCTGGCCTCTCTCGGCGTGAGGGGGGTGTGAGATGAATGTGAATGACGAACGGTTCATTGGGGGTGTGAGGTAAGGAGAGGAAGAGAGGTGAGTGAGAGAACGAACGGGGTACAGGCGGCTCGGCTTGGCTCTCTCTTCCCAGTACTCCCCTCTAGATGGTCTCATCAGAAGATATATAAGACCTCTGTCCGTCAGCCCATCCTCCAGTCGTCTCCCTTCCCTCCACTCTATCCAATCAACCCAATCTCATACAAATATACAGTCCTCGACTACCCGATATCTAATTCAATAACTCCATTCCCTAAACACCAAATCCAACAAACTTAAATCAGTCAAAATGCGTTTCTCCGCCGCCACCGTCTTCGCCCTGGTCTCCCTGGTCGCCGTAAGTTGAATCCTCATCACACTCTCTCCTACCACATACTGATAAACCGTCTTAGGCCCAGGATGCCTCCACCACCCCCGCCGTCCCCGGCGCCTCTCAGGTCAGCTCCCTCATCGGCTCCGCCTCTAGCGCCATTGCCTCCGAGGCTTCCTCCATCCTGAGCGGTGCCTCGTCCGCCGCCGGCGCCGCCTCCTCGGCCATCGCCTCCATTACTTCTTCTGCCGGTGCCGAGGTCAGCTCCTTGAGCCAGCAACTTACCTCCGCCACCGATGCCGCTGGCTCTGCCTCCATCTCTTCCAAGATCGCTTCCGTCACCAGCAAGGCCAACTCCGCCGCCTCCAGCGTCGCCTCTGCTCAGAGCACCTCTGCCCCCGGTGCCGCCCCCGCTCAGACTGCTGCCGTTGCTCTTGGTGCTCTCTTTGGCGGTGCTGCTCTCGTTGCCAACCTGTAAATTGGGAATCTAAAACAATGATCATGGGAATTATGGAACGAAATGGCTTAGCGGAAACGATTGAAATTTCCGGTGCGTGGTAAAGGGTACTACACAGCATTGTTTGGGCTTTTTTGGGATTATCAGAGATATCAAGATGTAATACCAGTACGAATTGTACATCAATCAAACATCAATTGTATATTCAACCATCTGATGACTCGAACTCGTGATTGATTCATCCTACCATTTAAGCCATGTCTTTACATCAAGTGGGAGGGAAAGTGCCACAACAATAATTACCGCTACATGATAACCACATTTCTTCTGGCATTATTCTTTTTTGCCCAAATATGTCATGGCGTTGCTGTTTGGAACGTGAGTAACGTCGGGGTTGTTTTGTACCCGATAAATGGCGCTTTGCTCCAACAACACAGTGTTGCAGCAGGCCACGCTTGTCCTGCACCAGACTTCGTATCCGAACCATGCATATCTACTAGTGCAAACACCGTAGCTAGCTGCAGCTAGCCACCTCACTCTCCAAATGGGGCGGGCCCTGGCAAGGCAAGGCAAGGCAAGCAATGGTGCATTTCAGGTCCCGCCACACTGCCTCACCCAATGTTTCACCGTGTGAAAAGCAAAGTCGAACATAGGATTGATAGCTCGCGATCTCGATCGCACTTAACCTCTCCCGAGACGGTTAAAACAAAACACCCCGTACCTGTAAAAATCCTTTCTGCTATTGCGCCGTATGATGATCTGATGGTCGAAGGCTTTTATCCGCATGTACTGTATGCTCAAATTACGCCTTCGACCGGGTATCTGCCCATAACTTATCAATGATTTGGAAAATCGCCGTAATGTCCTTCATAACCTCGTCGTCCACCTGACCGCCAAGCTTCTGCTGCATCTTGTCGGGATGCCACCGCACGCGCTCCTCGCGCAGCTTCGCAGCGAACTCCTTCTCGCCAATGTCCTCCAGCCCGAGCCCGTTGACGATGAACCGCCGGACTTCCTTTTCGTTAATGTCTCTCCGTCGACCGCTTTCTACAGGCCAGGGAATCTTGTCCACGTTATTGGCCCACTCCGTCCAGCCTCGTGTGTAATCTTCCCACAGCTGGACCCATGCTCTCTTCTTGCGCCGCTCCTCCCCGCGACGCAGGCTCCGCTCCATATCTTCTTGGAGCTTCCTATTCACCTTTTCCTCTTCCTTTTTGCGTTTCCGTGCTTCTTCCCGACGGGCCCTCTCTTCTAGTAAGCCCTGGTGTGTCTTCTCCCACATCTTTTGCCTGACGTGCTGGGAGTATTCTTCGTCCGTCATCCGCTCGAGCTCGCCTTCTGGGCCTGGCCTCTCGTTCGAGTAGACGTGTATCGGCTGCCCGTAGACGCCCTGCCAGTATGCCGCGCCCTCGTCGTCGGCCATCGCGTCGAATAGGGATTCGCGGAATGCGGCGTCTGGGTCGAGGCCCTGGGGTTCGTAGGGGTTCGGTGGCGTCGGGGATCGTGAACGTCTGCGATGTCGCCGGCTGCTGCTGTGGTGGTGGTGGCGGCGACTGTGGCGGTGTTCTGGGCGGGATTCATCATTGTCGGCGGCGTCTGGATCATGGCCACGTTCACGGTCGCGGTGACGATGCGATCGGCTCGACTTTGAATGTTTGGATTTTAATCGAAAGCGGGATGATCTAGGTCGCAGGTTTTCGCCGTCGCCTGGTTCTGCTTGCGCTTGCGCTTCTGCTCCTGCGTCTGTTGGAGCGGGCGGCGATTTGCGCTTGGTTGGCTCTGGTGTGTTCTCGTGACTGTCGCCGGGATTGACAGACGAAAGGATATGTCGCCGTCGCGGCGATGCCGGCGAACTGGTCATCGTGTTCTCTTTCGCCAGCACGCAGCGGCTACCAGATGATCAGTCGGAAAGTACCGTTGACGCCAGTGTGTAGTTGAATAAAGTTCGGAGGAAAGAAAGTTGTTGGAGGGGTCGTCCTGGATTGACGTCGTTGGGTTTTGGCTTATCTTATCTTGCGTACCTACCTGTACTGGTGGTTTCCTGTTTGCGGGTCTTGGCTTCCCGCGTGCCTGGATCATTCCTGCCACTCCTGCGAGATAAGCTTAAACCCAGGCGATAGCCCGCCTTTCCCCGGACAAGGAAGACAGGTAGGTACTTTTCTTGTCGTATCTTGAGGCTCAGCAGACTGCAACGTCGTTTAGCTATCTAATCAAGCTAGACTGAGGTGTATGGGTATAGATAAGGTAGGTACTCTGACGACCCCTGGCAAACGTTTCTGAGGAAAACACCAACATACCATTAACGATGTCCGCTTTAAAAGTCGGATACCATCATTCACCTGAGTTTTCTGTGATATTGTCTCGACTCGATTATTTCTTCGATTCACGCGATACTAGTGACAAAGCATTTCTAACTGTCATATTACGATATTGTGCTTTGTGCTTTTCAAGGTTTCGACCTCCAAAGCATCCTTCACGACTCTTGCAACTGAGACACAGTTTTCCTCACCATACTTTCCTCCAATAATCTGCACACCAACCGGCATGCCGCGAATCTGCTCAAGATCATCTGGTTTTTCATTAGTATGTACAGCCCTTTGAGAGGCGATGCCGTAAGAATGCTTACACAGCTGGTAGTTTATCTCATCGCTCTTGTTACATGGGACATGATCAGTCCACTGCTGGCTCGAGGCACCATCGCTTTCAGCTCGCATTACGGGGATCGTCAAGGCTGCATAATCAAGCCAATTCCAGTGCGAGGTGTATCCGACGTGAGGCTTTGACTTGGCCCACACTCTGGGTCTCATCCCGACCCAGGGTGCCACCGGCGTGATGAGGGCGTCAACACCTGCCTCGTTCCAGCGCTTGAGGTATCCTTGCTCATACTTGAGCTTTTTGGCAGCCAGCTGTGTAATTTCATTAGTCGAGGTAGTGCGTATCATCCGTGCTTGAGCTGAGTTACATGGCGAGACTTCGCAACTGAGAGTTTGTCTTCTTCAGTTCCAACGAGAAGCCCTTTGACTAACGGCTCTCCGCTGGCCTCACTCAGCACCCGGTGAGACTCACCGCCATCAGCGAATGTGACGGTTGTCCAATCATTGTAAGCTTCAGCATGCGAGGCGGGGTCCCATTCGATCACTGCATGCGTTGTGTTAGCACACAGGCACAGCCAAGGCCAAAATTTCCAAGAGCGAGCAATGGACCAACACCTACAAGTGTGCCATGCAGCTGTGAGGCTATCAACGATAGCCCGTACCGCAAGTTCAATAGGCGGCTGTACACGGACGACGTTGTCATTGATGTAAGATCCGATCTTGAGAGGCTTGTCGGGCTTGGCCACGAGCTCCTTGCGCCACGGGATAGGCAGCAACGTCGGATCACTTCGCCACGGCTCATAAGACAAGATGCCATCCATAAAGGTTTCGATTGTCGAGAGGCTGAATGCTAGAGGACCAGCCACTGGCGGTGCGATAAATTCCCATTTGCTGCCGTCCCACTCTTGTTAGTCAACGATGCTTTAAAGCAACAAAGCAACCGAACGTTGGGGGGAAGCAACTTACCTCGATTCCTCGAATGCTAGTCGTCCAACAGTCGGTTTGAGCCCGTAAAACCCCTGCAGAGCTGCTGGGATACTTATGGAACCGCCGGTGTCTGTTCCGATCCCGACCAAACTACCGTGACAGCCTACGAGTGCCGCTTCGCCACCTGAGCTGCCACTAGATATCAGTTCGCGGTTGAGTGAGTTCAAAGATTGTTTGAAAACGTGATTGTAGGAGTCCGATAGCTAAAGTTCTATATGAGACTACGGTCTTGCAAGTGTATGTTGGTGGAGATTCTTATCATTAGTGCCTGCGCAACATTCGTCTTGACAAAAAGCACAGCTCCTTGAGCTATGAGAACGTCTCACAAGACGCTATTTTCTTTCGCCGGCTTCCCAATGAGGTTAACCCAGCCTTTGAATTGTTAGTATCACACTGGAAACCTGCAATCAGCGGCTTACCGATGGTAGAGTCAAACCCTTTGACGTCGAATATGTTCTTGAGTGATACCGGGAGTCCATGCAATGGGCCAACTACGGAGCCTGTCCGCTCTAGATGGACATCTAGAGCCTTGGCTCGTTTGAGAGCCTCTTCAAATATGAGCTCTGTGCAGCATTTCATTAGCTGCTGGGCTATGGCTGCTCGCTTCGCGAACGCTTTGAGGACTTGGACTGCGCTCAAATTTCGAGTCGCAATCTGCTCAAGTAAGACTTGGATGTCTTCAACTTCCGTACAAGCAAGCTCTTCCGCGCTCAAGACTCCAGATGAACGAAGAAAGGTGTCCGTGTCTTTGGGAGGGGGAACAGTTTGGTCGATACGCCATCCAACGGGAATCTTGGCGTATTATTCTGCGCGCTTCTGCGCGACGCGTAGTTTCCATGGCGGTGTCGGTGTTTGTGTATTGATCCCAGGCTCTATTTTAGGCAGCCTGGTGGAACATTCGCTTTCCGAAGTGAAAGGTTGATCTTGATTATCGCCCATTTTCAACTTAACCTCGCTAGGTCGTTTCCGAGTAGAGTTGGATTATGGATCAAACAAGTTCATGCAAAATGCGTTCGATCTTGTTTCAATCAGACGACTGAATAGCAGTGGCGAGGTCATCATAACAATGCCTGATGTCCGTATATTTTCCATGGATCTTGATTCCATGACTGACGTACTCGGTAATCAGACAACTAACACCCCTTTTAACAATTACAAAACCTTTAGACGAAATTTGAATTATAGGAGAATTTATGAAATTAAGTAGAAAAAGTAGATAGTCACCTGAATGTGCCATTTATTTTGACAACCGCGTAATAGGGTCACTATGAGATAAAGTATGTTTCCCAACAGGTGGGAGTCTCAACTTGGGAACCTGATAGCCCGAAACATTGATCAATTTATTTCCTATTCTAATGTTCGAGACTACATTTTACGGACTTCTCTTGGCCATCTCCCGTGCATATAAGAAGTTGGCGAGCTTGCCTTGTCCGTAGAGAGAGGATTATCCTAGAGTTGCGTACTTCCTCTGCTTCTTGTTGTTGTTGCCTTCGTTCGTGTCTGCTATAGAGCTTGAACGACCAGGAGTGGGACTTGAGGAAGCCGTGGCAGAATTTGGAGGGGGGCCGCCCATGAATAGCTGCCTTGCAGCTGAATTTCCATGCTCTTCGACTCTGCGGAGAAACTCGGCGGGCATTGTAGCAGAGTCATCCAGAATCTTATAACTCTTGACTAAGTAGTGGCCCTTGAACTGTTCCCAAAGCATCCACTCTTGGGATCCCTCCTTGTAGCCAGGTCTTGGATAGTATGGGTCATTTTCCCAGAATGCTTTGACAGCATCATCAATGCCCTTGGGAGTGGGCGGCATTCTTCTGCATTGATTGAAATCCAGTAAGAAGATGCTCACGCTGCGTCGGAGAAAGTTGATGCCGCTTGATTTCGATTCATCCATATTCCACGTCGTGATGATATCCCCTTCAAGGTCAATTGAGTCCAGGGTTTGAGCAGATATGCGACGCTCGGGAGAACTGCCAAGAACGAATTCGACATCTGCACCATCAATCTGAGCAGCCCAGTGCATGACCGCCAAAGCCTCAGCCATTGGCTGAACATATTGCTGGGGGTCTACACCCAAGATCTCCATCTTATCGAGCGTGAGCTCAAAGTTTCGCAGAGAGAATTTGTTTCCGACTCGTTGATTCATGCGTCTGCGTCCAAGGTAAATGCGTATCAAGCAATGCTTGTTTGCTGGGTTGTTTGAAGCGTCAGCTTTCATGTCGGACGGACAGAAGACGGACACAAGCGCCTCACGGATGCTTCGAGGTAGTGGGAGAATGCGTTCAGATACTATGATCGCGCTGGGATCGAAGAAAAATCCTGAGTGACTCTTGATCTCCTTGCGGTGAGCAATCTTCCAAGCTTGAAGGTCATCGACTTGTACGATATATGCAGGTCTTGGCATGGCGTAAGACTTTGTGGTTTTCGAAGCCTCCCACATCTTGACGTGAGCCACATGATCAGCCCACATCTCTTGCTTCTTGTTTGATCTACCGGCCTTGATGATGAGTCCCCTGCTAGGGAAGTCGTATATCACACCGCAAAATCCTTCTCCGATGACCTGAAGCGGAAGATCTTGCTCTGCCGCTTGTTGTTGGCGGATAGCAAATGACGATGCTGTGCTCAGAACTGCGTTTACCGAAAGAAAACATTGGAGAGTCGTAGTGCAGGATTCATCATGTTGATCAATCTCTATAGCGTCACCTTGCTGGACATACTTGGTCGCGATGGTAAGGTTTTCAAAAAGCGATGGTGAAATGGAGTATCCCGACTCGTCGGTTTTGTTTCCCTCGCGTCTTTTCCGGGGATCTGACATCCTGATGATAGTTTGATGCAGCTCTCTCTGGGTGATCGAGAATGCAGGTATGACCAGCTCTCGAATTAGTATTGTGAATTGTCTGGGGGAGGGAGTTGAGGTGGGAGAGAGGAAGAATTGAGAGAGAAGTGTAAGAAGAAAGGGTGGGAAGAAATCCGAGAAGGAGGTATAGAGGTTTCCTTCATACTTTGCAAGTGAGTCGATTTGTTCCTGCCGAAATAAGAGAGAAAAAAAGAAGCTGGAGGCGTGAGGCAGGTCCTTCTTGTATAGAGAAGGCAAGACCGTATCGGAGAAAGAGCTCTTGACAAGCTCAGGAAGGTGGGCGGTAGGCACCACAAAGGTCATCTTGCTCAATAACCCGCACAACTGTGTACCTTTGAGGCGCGGCTGGGGCGATGAGACTTTGGCTCAAGACACCTGTTCGGACTTCGTCCTGGGTAGGAGTTAGACACATTTCATCCTCAAGTTTATGGTTGTCACGAAGGGCTATTTCTGGAGGCTATATTTTGGACTTTTGCTGGATCGTAGGCCCGTTTTCTACCAATTGCGCGCTTTCAGATCCATGAGTCTGGAGCCACTACTCCAGGGGTAATCTTTCATGACAGTCAGGGTAGTGAACCCGTCCCACGATGTTCAGTGATATCAGATGTTGTTTCGACGAACATCGGCCACGGCGCCGATAGTTGTGAAGTAGACTCGGCAATGAAGTGCTCTGGAGAGCCGTGAAAACTCAAAAAGCTTCTTTGGAAGCACGGCGGGATGGGTAGCGCCCTATACATTGCGATAGCGGACAGCAAGGTACCACCATTCATAGGACGGAGACAGCTCTCGTTCTCAAGACTGAGTAAGAGCCTGGCACTTCTGGTTGCGGATGGTGAATTACCCCGCGAAAACGCCGCGAAACGGGTAAGACATGTTTGATCCGCAACGGGTTCTAGATTCCATTGCCGCTCTGGAACCTGTCGTTGACTGGATGCGTAGATCAAAACCGAAGCCGAGACCAGCTGGATGGTATTTAACTTCTTGAGTCTGCCGTTCCGATGGCTGCAATTCAATTTACGTTGACCTTGGGATTTGAGAGTCACCATGACGAGACTTGGGGGACTTCATGACAGAAGGCAGATTAGCTGCCTAGAGGAGAAGCGTTCGGTGGCGTCGGAATGTGGCTCTCTGACGGGCCAGGCAGATGGGAGCGCTTGTTAAGCAGCCACCGCAGCCAAAGACCATGTCGACCATGTCGGATTCAATGTTTCATGGTTGTACATGAGTCGCGGGAAACAGAGGCAGTTGAAACTCCCGACGATCGCATCGCGATAAACGCGAAGGTGCTGTCTACAGAGTCAAGGGTTTCACCGAACTCTGAATGTCACGGATCGGGGAAATAAGAAAAGCAATGTTGCATGCAACGTCCCGCAATGTGTTTCTGTCTTGGCTATCCGGGGAAACAAGGCTTGTTGTGAGTTGTGACACCTCAAGGTAGCTTGCCAATACCTACTTGCTTATGTAAGGCGAGCTACCGGAGCTACGGTGCACTACCGGTATGGTAAAAGCCGTCTGTGCTTCAGGCCGTACAGCTCATCAATTGTTCGATGTTATCCGTTAGGTACCTGCCCATACTACGTATGATGTGCCTACCGCTCCTCCGTTATCGCATCCTTTCCATTGCTGACGAAGGGCCTAATGTGAGGAGGCACAATGCGGTAAGCGGTGCATGCAAAATACGGCAACACGCGGCACCTGGTGCCGGACTCAATTATCCGAGCGTCTTATCTGAAAAGACTGAGATGCAAGACGCTGACACGCGCGACCCTCGTTTACAGGGAACATGTCCCCTACTCCACGACGTTGGCGAGTGATGGCTCTGCGAACACTGAGTTGTGCATGCATCGGAGGTACCGGAAATGTATCGCGAAAAAGCCGAATGCGGGACAAGGCTGCAATGCAGGTCGTCATAGCTCCCCACCTTTCCGTGAGCTAAACTGCGGTGAGCCCTGTGGTTGGGTAAGCCGCGGGATGGCTCTCCGAACCCGAATGTGTGAGACATGGACCAGTCATCAGTGACCGCGACGGGGAGGTGCCAGGTGCTTCTTTCCCCAGGGCCCAGCGTCCACAAAGCTGACAAACCATGCAGCGGAAGTGGGAGGGCAGCAGCGTCACTCGCACTCTGGAACCACAAGAGCAACACCGAGCTGACTCTCCACCACAGGGCACCTCCCCCGTCCACTTCACGGTACGTCGCATGCGTTTACTCCGACTCGGTCGTCCGCCCTCAAAACTTTTCCCACGTCGCCAATGTCGCCCCCGTGACGGTATCCTGATCTCTATTCCAGTGTATACGTCTAATTGTACTGCTCAACAATTCCGATCAGCCAATTCCACCTCTACTACGAGAGGGCCCCACGAACGACCGACCGATAAATCCCCTTCCGAATAGTACTTCTGTCTAGCATGCGTTAAACAGGCGGGTTGGGGGAAACCGCAGAAGAGCAATCGCCATGGACTATTCCGACTACTCGCCGCAGCGCATTCTGCACACAGGCTCGTTCACCGGATTCCATCGCCTGGGACAGCTCGGTAGCAACTATCTCTCTGCGACTGCAGAGATCAAGCAGCCGCTATGCGGTAACGAAGAGGGTTGGGGTCCGCTGAGCCCTATCCGATATGACTTTACACCATGCTTCATCGATGTCTGGATCGCCTCTGTGGCAGCATTTGGTCTCATCTTTGGTTCTCTGGCCATTGTATGGCTCATCCAGCGCAGAAAGCCTTCCGATGCCCCTAAAGACTGGCATTTTTGGGTCAAGCAGGCAAGTGGTCATTTAAAATGCTTTCTTATCTCGTCTGTAGCTGACCAGCCGCCCCTTTCAGACACTCCTCGGATTGATCATTGCCGATGTGACAGTACAACTTGCTTTACAAATCGTCAATTATCCCGATGTTTGGTACGGCGACTTCCGATTTTGGACAACGGCTGCGACAATCCTATCTCTGGGCGTCATCTTTGCCATTCAATGGCTCGAGCATGCGCGCCTGCGTAATCCCAACGGTGTCGTCCTCTTCTACTGGCTCTTTCTCTTGATCGCATACTCAGTCAAGCTCCGGTCCTTGATCTCTCAGCAGCTGTACGAGACTAGCCCGGCCTACTTCATTACTTACACCGTCGGCTTCGGCCTCTCTGTAGCCGAATTCCTGGTTGAGTGGTTATGGCCAAGGAAGGTCAGTGCATACGAGGCTTTGATCGACGAGGAAGAGTGTCCCATTGAATATGCCACCGTATTCTCCCAGTTGACATTCTCCTGGATGACTCCTCTGATGCGCTATGGATACAAGCAATACTTGACTGAAGATGATCTTTGGGGGCTCGCTCAAAAAGACCAGACCAAGAACACTGGTGACGCGTTCAACAAAGCTTGGGAGTACGAACTCAAGCACCACAAGAACCCATCCCTGTGGCTAGCCATGTTCCGTGCCTACGGTGGCCCATACGCCATAGCTGCGCTCTTCAAGGCTGTTAACGATGTTACGCAGTATCTTCAGCCACAACTCCTGAAGTATCTTATTGCATTCATAGCTTCTTACGACACTGAGAATGATGAGAAGGAGCAGCCTCCGATCAAGGGTGCTTCCATCGCCTTGGCAATGTTTGCGTGCGCCGTTTTGCAAACCTCCATGATCGTGAGTTCCATATCGTAAGACTTAGCAAGACGCAGCTCCACTAACACGCGCCAGCATCAATATTTCCAGCTAGCATTCGTCACCGGTATGCGGATCAAGGGCGGTCTGGCATCGGCCATTTACAAGAAGTCGATGAGACTGTCCAACGAGGGACGCGCATCCAAGTCGACCGGCGATATCGTGAACTACATGGCTGTCGATGCTCAGCGTCTACAAGATCTGACCCAATTTGCCCAGCAAGTCTGGTCCGCTCCTTTCCAGATCATCATCTGCATGGTATCATTGTACCAACTTGTTGGCTGGTCAATGCTTGCTGGTATTGGTGTCATGATTATCATGATGCCTGCGCATGGTTTCATTGCCAGAATCATGAGAAACTTACAAAAGGAGCAAATGAAGAACAAGGACAAGAGGAGTCGCCTGATCAACGAGATCATCAACAACATGAAGAGCATCAAGCTTTACGCTTGGGGTGCTGCTTTCATGAACAAGCTGAACTTCGTTCGCAATGATCTCGAGCTCAAGAATCTTCGAAAGATTGGAGCAACCCAAGCATTCGCCAACTTCACATGGAGTACGGCTCCATTTTTTGTGTCTTGTTCCACCTTTGCCGTGTTTGTTATGACGCAGGATAAGCCGCTGACCACTGAAATCGTCTTCCCTGCACTCGGTAAGTGATGCCGTTCACCTACAATAAGTGCTAAGCGCTGACTCTTGTGACTTAGCTCTGTTCAATCTGCTCACGTTCCCTTTGGCGGTTTTGCCCATGGTCATAACCTCTATCGTGGAAGCTAGTGTTGCTGTCGGTCGTTTGACCTCCTTCCTCACTGCCGAAGAGATCCAGCCCGATGCGATTACGATCAAGCCCGCGCCGGAAGAGATGGGAGAGGAGACAGTCATTGTCCGGAACGGAACTTTCTCCTGGAACCGTCATGAAGACAAGGAGGCTCTGAAGGATATTGACTTCACTGCCTACAAGGGAGAACTTTCTTGCGTTGTCGGTAGAGTTGGCGCTGGCAAGTCGTCATTCTTGCAGAGTATCCTGGGCGATCTTTGGAAAATCAGAGGTCAGGTTGAAGTCCACGGAACCACGGCTTATGTCGCACAGGGAGCTTGGATTCTCAACGCGACTGTGAAGGAGAACATCATCTTTGGCTACAGATACGACCCGGATTTCTACGAAAAGACGATCAAGGCATGCGCTCTTGTTGACGACTTTGCCCAGCTGCCCGATGGCGACGAAACTGTTGTAGGTGAAAGAGGCATCTCCCTGAGTGGTGGACAGAAGGCGCGTGTGGCCTTGGCTCGCGCCGTCTACGCCAGAGCGGACATCTACCTTCTCGACGATGTCCTGTCAGCCGTAGACTCCCATGTTGGAAGACATATCATCGAGAATGTTCTCGGACCCAGAGGCCTTCTGAACACCAAGACCAGAATCCTCGCCACAAACGCCATTGCCGTGCTCACAGAGGCCAGCTACATCACCATGATCAGAGATGGCGAGATTGCCGAGCGCGGAACGTACAAGCAACTCGTGGCAATGAAGGGCATGGTGAACGATCTCATCAAGACTGCCGGTCAAGATTCAGGCCCTTCTTCTTCGGCCAACTCTAGCGGCTCCAGTAGCGAAACGTCCACAATCATCGAAGCTGAGGGCAGCAGTCAAGAAAAGGCCGAGTTGGAAGAGGCTCAAGAGCAGCTTCCTGAGATGGAACCTATCAAGACCGGCGTTTCAGTAAGGAACAAGAAGCGATCTTCGAGCATGGCAACGCTGCGCCGCGCTAGTACCGCCAGCTTCCGGGGACCTCGGGGCAAGCTTACTGATGAGGAAGTTGCTGGCAGCAAGTCCAAGCAGACCAAGGAGCATATCGAGCAAGGAAAGGTCAAGTGGAACGTGTACATTGAGTATGCCAAGAACAGCAACATTATTGCTGTCGCCATCTACATGGGTGCTCTACTGGCTTCTCAAACAGCCAACATTGGTGGCTCCGTATGGCTCAAGACATGGTCAGAGCAAAATGCAAAATCACACACCAACGACCATGTGGGCTACTACATCGGGATTTACTTCGCCTTCGGTATTGGCTCTTCTCTTCTGACCGTCATCCAGACTCTCATTCTGTGGATTTTCTGCTCGATTGAGGCGTCGAGGAAGCTACATGAGCGGATGGCCAACGCCATTTTCAGATCACCCATGTCATTTTTCGACACTACACCTACTGGTCGCATTCTCAACAGATTCTCCAGTGACATTTACAGGGTCGACGAGGTTCTCGCCAGGACCTTCAACATGCTCTTCGTCAATGCTGCTCGGTCAGGCTTCACTTTGGCTGTCATTTCGATCACGACTCCTCCGTTCGCCGCGCTCATCATTCCAATTACTCTGATCTACTACTGGATCCAGCGGTATTACTTGCGCACTTCTCGTGAGCTCAAGAGACTTGACAGCGTTACCCGAAGTCCCGTATACGCCCACTTCCAGGAATCACTCGGAGGCATCTCGACGATCCGAGCGTACCGCCAACAGCAGAGGTTTGAGCTGGAGAACGAGTGGCGTGTCGATGCCAACCTCAAAGCCTACTTCCCATCTATCAGCGCGAATCGTTGGCTTGCGGTCCGTCTCGAATTCATTGGTGGTATCGTCATTCTTGCGGCTGCCGGATTTGCCGTCGTCACAGTCGCGAACCACGTTCCCTTGAGCCCTGGTCTT